GCTCACCTTAAAATGCAATCGTAGTTTTGAAACCTCTAGCACGACATGTATACCTAGTTAATTTGGAATAATTTATCATATAATTGTAAAACTCGAGTAACTATAAAAAGGATAGATACAAGTTAGTAATTTGAAAACGATAAAATGAGCAAAGTTAATATCGTCCCATAAATATTAAAACAGGGGCTTTGGTGAGCACTGAGCACGTTTAACAATATTGACTTTATAAAATAGAACATATATATAGAAACTCAATATACTATATCAAACTCTAGAACGCTCAAATGACCTAGTCGATCAATCCATCCAAAGTGTAAACTAGGCAAATTGTAAGATTGATATTCTCAAAAAATTCACTATTTCGCGATGACGTATTAAAAGTATATATAAATAAAGACTCAGTTACTCTTCAAAAAATCGACCTTATAAGAAGACCGCCCTCAATACGGATTTCAAAAATATAGTTTTCATGTGTTTATGTTTCACTAGAAATCAGCTTGGCTCATAAAATTAAAATATAGCACAAGTTGCTTGGTTTCACATGACTAATGTTTTTAACCACATAATAAAATTGATTTTAAGAGTCACAAGCTTCTTGAAATAAAGAAGAAAAGTGGTTTTACGGCAACAGTATCTTTTCATGCTTGCAAATGGTTATAAATTCTACCTTTTAGGGCTTGGGTTTAATTGGATCTTCAATTCTCACATGACTGATAATGACTCCCGCGTCTCTATAATCCTAAGGTGCTATGATTAATTGTGAAATGCACCACTGCTGGTGAATAGCGTTGCTGTATATATGGTTTTGTGCTCAATTAGATCGAAAAATACCAAATTTAGAGTCGATAATTGAAAACATAAATAATATTGTTATATATCGAGGGGTACAATTGTTCAAATGCGTAATGAATGATAATAACACCCCAAAATTGAATTTCTAGTCCGCTCACTTGACTAGGTGTAAAAATAAATTAGATAATCGCAGTTGTGGTGACTCGATCTCGATCCTAATCTTAATATCAAACGACCCGAGACGCTTTTCATTTTTATCATTTTTCAAAGTAAAATTTAACATTTCATAGATGCCGCTGCCGCATTTCTTTTCTAAATTTTATAAATATACCACAGAGTTTGTCATTTATCACGTCCAACCCGGCATATCAAATAAGCAAATATTTAGCAAGTAAAATAAGATAAAACAAAAATAACAGCTAAGAGAAGAGCAAATGAAATAGCCAAAAGAGTGTGATTACTGAGGAGCCAAACTAAGCAACAGTTTTTAAGGTTCTATTCCAAGAAAAGCAGAGTTCGACGAAATGGCAATCCGTTTTTGAGTACTTTGTTGTTCAGGTTCCTCTAATCCACACCCATAACTTTACACGAATGACCAGTTTACAAACATAAAGCAGCTGCAATGGGCATTCTCGTCTTCATTCAGAACTTTCCAAGCTACTGCACGTTCGTAAGAGACGGGCCTCCCCATGCTCGACAGACAGATACCACTTTGAAGACATGCAAAACCCTGTTAACAGAAAGTGCCAAGACGACAAATAAGCTCCTGACCTTTTCCAGAAGAACGAGACAAATAGGCAAGACTGTTCCCATGTCTAATCCCAAAGCCGAGAGCAATATTGCATGAACATTCTCAGGGAAAGCCACTTACCCTGAGACATCGAGGGAAAAAAAAAAAACACAACAGGAGGGCAACGATCGAGGGAAGGATGCGAGCACAAAGTACGCATTTTAGCAGTGTATCAGTTTTTAAATTTTTTTTTAAAAGAAAAATTATAATCGACAAAGTGACACTCATCAACAATGGTTCAGATGACAAGACAGAGATCGTGTGATATGGGCAGAAGTTTATTGGTTTCAATTGCTAAAAATTCCAAATAGCACATTGTATCACTTCCTGCAATACAACCCATTTTATCCATATTTGGCGTGTATTTGTTAAATCAGGGAATGACTGACCTGTTTCATTATTTGTGGGAACTCAGAGCAGAGATTTTTCCTTCCATGATCATCAAATATCTTTTCCAGAGATATGTCTTGAAGCGCAACTAAGGTTGTCTCAAGCATATCAAGACCAGCCTGGTTTGTAAACGTAAACACCGGCATTGCCTGCATAGTTTTTGAAGTGAGATAAAATGGAAAACTATGAACTAACGCAAAATAAAGGAGTAATGGGACTTTAAAAAATTATACATGCTGCTCATAGCATCTATGATGTCATGCATGTTTGGCAAGGAGGTTTGGATGGTACTAGACACTATTAAGAAAGAAAAAGAAGCTAAAAATCTTGTTTATTGTATTGTCCAATACTATTGAGTTCAACAAACCAAACATGGAAGTTCAAGTTGTTGGGAATCTACTTAACATGCGCAGCAAAAAATTAAAACAGATTTCGATTCCCACCAGGAATCTCTTTGTATTTAGATAGAAATTTTGAAAAAATTGTACCTTTTCCAGATCTGTAAACTTCTTTTCTATTCTTTTTGTTCCAACAATTTTGATTCGCCACCCACAGCTGTCCAATTGTCCCGGGTCCAACGATGATCCACACAGAGAACAGATTGCAACTACCAGAATTTTCTCCTCTTGCGCTAGCAAGAAATTATGAGAAAACTTTATGGATTGAAAATCCTAGCCATGTATTTATGCCTGGCTTAGTCCGGTCCAGTCCAATATTTAATTAAATCCGGTCCGTGAATTAATTAATCCAATTAATTAATTCGGGCCTATAAATAACTAACTCAATTAATTAATTTATTCAACGATTGTTAAATTAATTAATTGACAAGTTGTAATCTTCCAATTCTCTTTTATGTGCGACCCATCAGGTTCCCGATCACGATACCTAACGACGTGAAATATTATTTTGATCTAATCAAAATTGATAAATTAAAACACCCTTTTAATTTATCACCAATTCACACTCATCGTCCCAGATTGACATCTAGCAATGTATCAGCGCAATACATGTGAGGGGAATGTCATGTGATATGAAAAAACCAAACTCGTTCGTTTACCGTGAAACTATAATCTCTTCGTCAATATGATCCGATCAATTATGAGATATGGAAGTGTATCAATCCCGAATATCGATCATATCTTTCACTCTACTATTAAGTCAATATAAGTCGAAAACTATTTTTTCGACTTATGAGTACACCTTAACCAAGGATTTTGTTATCGATTTAATTGAATGAAACGCAGATCATAATCTCCTACTATATAAGAGTGACGAATCCTCTATTGGTTTTTCACAACTTTCATACGATTATTTACATACCCGAACGATACCGTATTAGCGGCCATTGGCAAAGCAACATCCAACACCGTCAAAGCATGACTGTCCTCATATAAGATACTATGACGACCTCAAGTCAAAGGACCAATCCCACTACCGAACATTAGAGATTAATCACTGACACTCAGATAGTTATCCATATGGAATCTCTCGGTGGGTCTCCAATATTTTCTTCTATAACAAAACATTCATATGTTCATTTAAGTGTCACCACACTTTAGCTTGTGAGATCAGCTACTTACTTCACCAGTAAGAAATGTCACACGTGATGGTCTATCCGTAATAACGATATCCGTATCTCATTATTACTTACGACCACGGACATTTAAGATTCAATCATATATAATTTGTATCTCACAATCACAACTCTTTGTGATTAACAAATTACGAAGATTTGAATCTACGGATTCTATTATTTATTTAATTGTATATTAATTAAATAATAGATCTGCCATTAAATTGCATTAATTATATATCAAAAGTATTTATGTCCAAGGTTGATTGGACCTATGGCATAATACTGACACAAGTAAGGGAACAAAGTAGCTGAGTTGTTTGTTAATAAGGGGTACAAAATGAAATCCTTCAAGATGCTACAAGCTAGAGACTTCAATGGGGCTGATTAGACAGGATAAATGGGGAGTTCCATTGTAGAGTTGGATAAATTGATTCTCTTATGTATGTCATCCTCTTTACAATTCCTTGTCTTTAACTGTAAAGATTGAAAACTGTTTGTATCTAATTCCTTGGAGGTAAGGTTCTTGAATGTCCCCCTCCGTGTAAAACGTGTTCATATCAATATACTAGGGAAGGGGGCCAATGCCAAACCCTCCATTCACCCTTAAATGAGTGGAATAAAACCTCCTGCCCAAGTCTGAATGACCTTTAGAAAAGATTTTTAAAAAAATAAAAATAAAAAACATGCACGTTCAAGTTCCTAAAACGGAGTTGCGTCTTGCAATAAAATGCTTTTCTACGCAGAACATGAAATTTAACTCACAAAATTACGACTACGAACAAATTGTTCAAACAACGAATTGATAATTTAAGAGTGGCAATCTGTAAAGCTTCTTATAATTATTTTTCTTGCACAAGTATTGGAGGGAAAAGAAAGGAAGGTAACCTGGAATCAGAAATTTACCTTAATGGAGCAGCATATTATAGCATCTGAGTGATTCCACAGAGCTTTGAGGATCGATTCACTCCCTTCACCAGCAGACTTGAGAAGATCAACACCCATATAGCTCCTATCAAGATGCAGAGTAATCAGACTAAATCATTCAAAATGCCACGAATTTCATAAAAGCATTCCCCAAAAGTTTGTCTAGGTCAGTTGCATTCTCAGCACAAACCTTGGGCCTTAGATTCCTCTCATATCTTCGCTGTGAAATCATATATTGCGAAATCAAACTGACAAACATGAATGATGTTGTAAGTGTTACATGTAACTTTGGCATATCCGACGAGCAAGAGTATGTGCTTCAGGAGTTCCATGTGGTGAGCGAAGACTAGCTTGCAGACCCAGGTGAGAGGGAGAGAGAGCTAATGCAACCCGTTGAAATGATAAAAATAAGTGTGATGAAAAAAGTTAAGGATACAAGTGTGATAATATATAAAAATTAATGACATTTAACGTAATTAAAATGTGATGTTATGTGGTTTGAATATCATAACCCTTTGTAAATTTGTAATTAGACATAAATTACAGTTTGGTCCTAAAAATGTGTATTCCTACTTATTTTTCATATAAGTAATGATATTTATGGTCGCTGTGGTAGTCGCTCCACATGACATCCTGCATGACAATTTCTGATTTGATGTATTAATGTGGTGTTTTTTTCTTACCTCATATATCAAATCATTAATCGCCACATGTATGCTACGTAAGGCGACTGCAACAACAAATGGCTGCAAATAGCATTATTCTTTCCATATACTAAGGTGTTGGGCTTTCCCATTTGGGGCACACAAGTGTGCAAGATAAGGCCTGAAGGCTACTAAGATTTGTAGGGGGGAAATATATAAACTATTGAGGTTTCAAAATACAATTTTAAAAATAAGAAAATTGTGAAAAAATTTCAAAAATCAAGTAGTCACATTTTGTGATCTCTGATAAAATTTCGCAACCTATAATTTTATTAGACAAGTCACAATCACAATAACACATAATTCATGATCACGATCACATACTAATATCAAATCATATAAGGTCACAATCACAAATATATAATTTGTGGGCGACAATTCCTTTAGTGACAAATGACACATTCACTACATCAAAGTTTATTTTTTTATGCCATACATTGAATGCTGTAAATAACTCTTTATGTCGATGACAAAATGCCTTATAAAGCAACACCGTAAAACGTGATTTTTTTATGACATGCAGAGTATGCCTTGTAGAGAACGCCATTATTAATTTTATGACGCTCAGTGGCACGTCATAAAAAGTATATCACTTTTTACAGCATGTTAAGATGTAGGCTGTATATGTAATACCTTTTGTGACGTTCGCTGAATGCATGCATTAAAATGTGAGATGCTTTTTATGGCGTGCCACTGAACGCCATATAAAGTATTAAATTAACGGCTTACATCTGAACATGAGGGAAAAAAAGTTATGGAATTTACGGCATGCCTAAACACGCTTTAAATATCAATTTAATTTTTTTAAAAATATTTATTTATTTCATTGTCAGCAAACATATAATTACAAAACAAAATTAATCCATATATAATCAAGTTTTCTGTTGTTACAATAAATAAAAATATTAAGTACGTTCAACACAATATGTCAATATAAAATTCATCTCAACCATTCTCAAAAATTATAGATTACTGCTTCATAAAAAAATGATTAAAACATATCAAAGTTTACTTCTTTGACTGACAATTTAGCTATATCACAAAATATCAAAATAGGCTTTTTACGACATGCCTTAAATGCAAGCCTTAAAAAGTTACTTTTGTTGTAGTGATTTTATAGATCACAAATTACACAGTTAAGTGGTTTCAATCAATTTGCTACACCACCCTAGTGATGGAAAAATGGCTCGCGGGCTTGGGCCAATTTAAAAAGCTCGAGCCAAGGCCCATCTTAGGGTACGAGGTTGAGCCTGAGCCGACCCTGTGGCTCGTGGGCAACTTGAAATTTAAAAAAAAAAAAATTATAAAGGCAGCGTGGCTGCTGCCTTTGTTTAGGGAACTGCAAGTTGCCATGAAAAAAAATCGAGTCAGCTCGACTCAGCTCAATAAGGCCCGAACCGAAAGCTCAGTTCAAGCATCGATTTTTTGGCCAAGCCCGAGCCTCAATTTTCAACTTGCAAGCCGGCTCGATTTTGCTCGTTGACACCCTATACCACCCCACTTCACCGCTATCCACACCACCCAAATTGTCGCAGCCACATCGAATCCGTCGCCAACTTCACCTCAAGTCCACCACATGCATCTCCGGTTCACCACTGCCAACGATCACAAATCATGGTCACTATTCTTCTCACCTCACCCATCACCACCACTCTTGATGAAATCCAATCTAAACATGCCATAACTAGTAGAGCTACAGTCACTATTAGATCTTACCTCTAGATCTACATTTACTATTAGAATATAAAGTAGAAAAGCATCGATTCAAAATCGATTTTTTAATCACAAATTTTGACTGGGCCACCGCCATTTGGATCGCCGTCATTATCTCTATGGCCAGATCAATGGATTAAGATGGATTACAGGTGAAGGTCTGAGGCGTTTTCTCAAATTCTAAAAAAGTTGGGGAACAATGGATTATTTGATATGGAGGGGTGATGTGAGGTGGGATAGGGTGTACTGTTAGTGCGAAATTCATAAGTGTATGAAATTGTTGACAAGTATAACGTGATGAATAAAATGTATCATCCTCGAGAAATAAGCTATAAATTGAAATATAACAATTCATTATCAAATTCGAATGTAACTAACAAAACAGATGATTCTATTTACATCTAAATTAATATATTAATTATCTATTATTATTTCTAACTAAATATACAAATGAATGTGTTGGTATTTTGATGCACGTATTATTATCTTATTTCTAATTCTCAACCTATATAATTTAGTATGTGTATTCATGATAATTGATAATCCAATTTTTTTAACTCTCTCCAAGGTAAGTTAGCTACTGCTTGGTCGAGATTAAAATTTTATTTTTAATAGATTTTAATAAAATTTGATTAAATGTGTGGTCGAAAGGCTGTAAGTAATACGAAATGTGTGGTTAAAATTATTGACTTTGACTCGAGATTTTAATTGGATTTAAATCAAAGATAAATAGGGACTTAAAAATAATCTAAGCACGGCCTGAACTGATCCAATTTTATTCTTAATTCGAATTCATATGTAAAATAATGCATTTAATTATACGATTATCTATATGATTACACACACAATGTATATATTCTTAACATCGATTGCATGCGTTGAAATTGCAAATTTCTAAACTTATTGTAAGTCTTCCAACACTCTACAAATAAGTAATTACGTAATTGAAGATCAAACAAAATAATAACAAAGTTCATTTTCGCTCCAACACAAAACAAATCTAATTTAGCATGTTTCTAAAGATAACAATATGGGAATTAGAAAATCATAACTACGGATGTAAGCAAGCTACTTCGAGCTGGGTTGCAACCCAAAGTTCGCGGCCTGTACAAAAAATTGCATGGACTTTTTTAGCTAAAGTCAAACCGAGCAAAACTCAGACGAAAGTTAGCTTAATTAATTAAGATCTGTAACCAAAAACTTCATAAGAAAATTAAAAATCAAATACAATCCAAGCCAACTTTATGAAGTTTACAATTGGTAGATTAATAATTGATAAAATACATATGAATGTAAAAATAACTACTAATTTTCCATTGAAAGATCATCCATATCTCTAGTAATGGCAGGGATGCAGCTTGAACTCCTAACAATTCCACCCTTCTTTGTTGCATCAGTATTATCTCTAGCACCCATGGATTGGCATCTAACTTGTCTCTTCTTCAAGATTTCTTTCATGGCTTCAGCTTGATAAAGAATTGGATAAGCCCTTCCAAATTTGTTAAACCTAACGCATGCATGCATATGAGAATTCAACGCTTCCTCTCTATTTCCACCATTTTTATCAGTTTCTTCTTTAACTGCTTCGGCGCAAAGCCCACAAATCCACTTCCCGAAGAACTTATCGCGCACTTGGCCTACATACTCGGGAGTGCATTCTTCGCTCATGCCACAGCATTCGCATTTCGCATCTTCAATTTCAGAAATCGGTGGCAGATTTTCCAAGTCTGCAGCCTCTTTGCTTAGCTCGAAAGATATGTCAGATATTGTTCTTTGCAGGTTATTGTTCTTTGAGGGTTTGCACGAGTGTAGGGTATTGGAAGAGTTCCTAACAATGGCCTCTCCATGTGGTGCCATAATGATGATGAATTTGATTTTCAAGCCTCAGGAAACCCTAATATGATGACAATGTTAAGGCTCAGGAAAGCCTAATGAGAACTGTGAAGGGCTATGACTTACAAAAGTTATATAGAGATAACCAGTGTATTGAAAATACTTGAAAGCTTCTGTTGGACGAATAAGTGATCATATGAGTGGACCTATTTATAGTTGATTTGCCTTTATGAATTGAGAAATACTGAAAAGAACATTTAGTGGACCATGGAAACTCCCATGTCACTGTACAACTTTCACTTGGACAGTCTTGAATATGCTAGATTTTCATCAGAATCTGTGGCTTAAAACAAGAGTGTTTATTGGATGAATATCTTTTTCATTTTCAAAGAAAACATGTTTTCTTTATAGTTATTACAGAGTGAGACATCGTCGTTGACAATAGTTTCATTATCGAGAGTATCTTAATAATGGGAAAGTCTTCATTATCAAGGAAAGAATTCGTCTCCATCAATCTAAGAAAAACAAATGGCCATGAGTAATTGGGGGTCCATACTATTTCCTTGGTTGAGCATTACGTGATGTGTTGGTTTATTATGATAATAAAAAAAAAATAACAATAATAATAATAATAATAATTGGGTTATGGTCAAATCTTTGGCATATAATTTTTTTTGTTCTTTTAATTCATAAAATTAGTTCAACAATTTTTTTTTACCTGTTTGATAAAATTTAAAATTCATATTTTAATCTAAATGAAAGTTAACAATTAATTTTAATCATTCATTTCATGAAAACTAACTTTTCAACTACATGTTTCATCAATTTTTATCAAAATCTATACGAAAAATGATTTTGATCTCCATCAAACAGGGGCTTACTAAAATTAAACTAAAAAAATAGCTCACCTTAAAATGCAATCGTTGTTTTGAAACCTCTAGCACGACATGTATACCTAGTTAATTTGGAATAATTTATCATATAATTGTAAAACTCGAGTAACTATAAAAAGGATAGATACAATTTATTAATTTGAAAACGATAAAATGAGCAAAGTTAATATCGTCGCATAAATATTAAAACAAGGGCTTTGGTGAGCATTGAGCACTTTTAACAATATTGACTTTATAAAATAGAACATATATATAGAAACTCAATATACTATATCAAACTCTAGAACGCTCAAATGATCTAGTCGATCAATCCATCCAAAGTGTAAACTAGGCAAATTGTAAGATTGATATTCTCAAAAAATTCACTATTTCGCGATGACGTATTAAAAGTATAGATAAATAAAGACTCAGTTACTCTTCAAAAAATCGACCTTATAAGAAGACCGCCCTCAATACGGATTTCAAAAATATAGTTTTCATGTGTTTATGTTTCACTAGAAATCAGCTTGGCTCATAAAATTAAAATATAGCACAAGTTGCTTGGTTTCACATGACTAATGTTTTTAACCACATAATAAAATTGATTTTAAGAGTCACAAGCTTCTTGAAATAAAGAAGAAAAGTGGTTTTACGGCAACAGTATCTTTTCATGCTTGCAAATGGTTATAAATTCTACCTTTTAGGGCTTGGGTTTAATTGGATCTTCAATTCTCACATGACTGATAATGACTCCCGCGTCTCTATAATCCTAAGGTGCTATGATTAACTGTGAAATGCACCACTGTTGGTTAATAGCGTTACTGTATATATGGTTTTGTGCTCAATTAGATCGAAAAATACCAAATTTAGAGTCGATAATTGAAAACATAAATAATATTGCTATATATTGAGGTGTACAATTGTTCAAATGCATAATGAATAATAATAACACTCCAAAATTGAATTTCTAGTCCGTCTCAATGAATGCACTTCACTAGGTGTAAAATAAATTAGATAACCACAGTAGTGGTGACTCGTTCTCGATCCTAATCTTAATATCGAATGACTCGAGCCACTTTTCATTTTTATCATTTTTCACATTTTATAGATGCCACTGCCGCATTTCTTTTCTAAATTTTATAAATATACCCCAAAGTTTGTCATTTGTCACGTCCAACCAATCATATCAAATAAGCAAATATTTAGCAAGTAAAATAGGATAAAACAAAAGTAACAGCTAACAGAAAAGAAAATGAAATGGCAAAAGAGTTTGATTACTGAGGAGCCAAACTAAGCAACAGTTTTTAAGGTTCTATACCAAAAAAAGCAGAGTTCGACGAAATGGCAATCCGTTTTTGAGTACTTTGTTGTTCAGGTTCCTCTAATCCACACCCATAAATTTACACGAATGACCAGTTTACAAACATAAAGCAGATGCAATGGGCATTCTCGTCTTCATTCAGAACTTTCCATGCTACTGCACGTTCGTAAGAGACGGACAAATAAGCTCCTGACCTTTTCGAGAAGAACGAGACAATTAGACAAGACTGTTCCCTGGTCTAATCCCAAACCCGAGAGCAATATTGCATGAACATTCTCAGGGAAAGCGAAAAAAAAAAAAAAAACACAACAGGAGGGCAACGATCGAGGGAATGATGAGAGCACAAAGTACGCATTTAGTTGTGTATCAGTTTTAAAAATTTTTTTTTAAAGAAAAATTTTAATCGACAAAGTGATACTCATCAACAATGGTTCAGATGACAAGACATAGATCGTGTGATATGGGCAGAAGTTTATTGGTTTCAATTGCTAAAAAGTCCAAATAGCACATTGTATCACTTCCTGCAATACAGCCCATTTTATCCATATTTGGCGTGTATTTATTAAATCGGGAAATGACTGACCTGTTGCATTATTTGTGGGAACTCAGAGCAGAGATTTTTCCTTCCATGATCATCAAATATCTTTTCCAGAGATATGTCATGAAGCGCAACTAAGGTTGTCTCAAGCATATCAAGACCTGCCTGGTTTGCAAACGTAAACACCGGCATTGCCTGCATAGTTTTTGAAGTGAGATAAAATGGAAAACTATGAATTAACGCAAAATAAAGGAGTAATGGGACTTTAAAAAAGTATACATGCTGCTCATAGCCTCTATGATGTCATGCATGTTTCGCAAGGAGGTTTGGATGGTACTAGACACTATTAAGAAAGAAAAAGAAGCTAAATATCTCGTTTATTGTATTGTCCAATTCTATTCAGTTCAACACACCGAACATGGAAGTTCAAGTTGTTGGGAATCTACTTAATATGCACAGCGGAAAATTAAAACAGATTTCGATTCCCACCAGGAATCTCTTTGTATTTAGATAGAAATTGTGAAAAGATTGTACCTTTTTCAGATCTGCAAACTTCTTTGCTATTCTTTTCGTTCCAACAATCTTGATTCGCCACCCACAGCTGTCCAATTATCCAGCCTCCGACAGTGATCTAAACAGAGAACAGATTGCAACTACCGGGATTTTCTCCTCTTGTGCTAGCAAGAAATTATGAGAAAATTCTATAGATTGAAAATTCTAGCCATGTATTTATATAAACTCAAACAGACCTGGTCTGGTCCGGTCCAATATTTAATTAATCCATTTAAATAAATTCGATCCGTGAATTAATTAATCCAATCGGGCCTATAAATAACCAACTCAATTAATTAATTTATCCAACGATTATTAAATTAATGAATTGACAAATTGCAATCTTCCAATTCTCTTTTGTGTGCGACCCATCAGGTTCCCGATCACGATGCCTAACGACGTGAAATATTATTTTGATCTAATCAAAATTGATAAATTAAAACACCTTTTTAATTTATCACCAATTCACACTCGCCATCCCAAATTGACATCTAGCAATGTGTTAGCGCAATACAACTGACGGAGAATGACATGTGGTATGACAAAATCAAACTTGTTCGTTTACCGTGAAACTATAATCTCTTCGTCTATATGATCCGATCAATTACGAGATATGGAAGTGTGTCAATCTCGAATATCGATCATATCTTTCACTCCACTATTAAGTCAATATAAGTCGAAAACTCTTTTTCGACTTATGAGTACACTTTGGCCAAGGATTTCGTTATCAACTTAATTGAATAAAACGCAGATCATAATCTCCTACTATCGAATAGTGACGAATCATCTATTAGTCATTCACAACCTTCATACGATTCTTGACATACCCGAACGATACCGTATCAGCGGCCATTGGCAGAGCAACATCCAACATCGTCAAAGTATGACTGTCCTCATATAAGATACTATGACGACCTCAAATCAAAGAACCAATCCCAATACCGAACATTAGAGATTAACCACTGACACTCAGATAGTCATCCATGTGGAATCTCTCGGTGGGTCTCCAATGTTTTGTTCTATAACAAAACATCCATGTGTTCATTTAAGTGTCACCACACTTTAACTTGTAAGATCAGCGGCTTACTTTACAAGTAAGAAATGCCACACGTTATGGTCTATCCTAATAACGATATCCGTATCTTGTTATTACTTACAACCACGGACGATTTTAGATTCAATCATATATAATTTGTATCCCACAATCACAACTCTTTGTGATTAACAAATTACGAAGATTTGAATCTACGAACTCTATTATTTATTTAATTGTCTATTAATGAAATAATAGATCTGCCATTAAATTGCATTAATTATATATCAAAAGTATTTATGTCCAGGTTGATTGGACTTAGGGCATAACACTTACACAAGCAATGGAACAAAGTAGCTGAGTTCTTTGTTAATAATGGGTACAAAATGAAATCCTTCAAGATGCTACAAGCTAGAGACTTCAATGGGACTGATTAGACAGGATAAATGGGGAGTTCCATAGTAGAGTTGGATAAATTGATTCTCTTATGTATGTCTTCCTTTTTACAATTCCTTGTCTTTAACTGTTTGTATCTAATTCCTTGGAGGTGAGGTTCTTGAATGTCCCCCTCCATGTAAAACATGTCCATATCAATATACTAGGGAAGGAGGGCAATGCCAGACCCTCCATTCACCCTTAAATGAGTGGAATAAAACTGTTGGGAATCTACTTATACATGCGCAACGAAAAATTAAAATTATTTCGATTCCCACCGAGGATCCTTTTGTGTTTAGATAGAAATCGTGATAAAGATTGTACCTTTGAAGAATTCTGCAAACTCCTTTGCGTTATTGTTGTTCCAGCAACTTGAATTTGCCTCCCACAGGTGTCCAATTGTCTATCCTCCAATGAAATCCACACAGAGAATAGACTGCAACTGCTAGGATTTTTCCTCTTGTGCTAACAAGAATTATGAAAACAATATGGATCTTAAACCCCAGTCATGTATTTATATAAACCCAAAAGAGCTCGGCCCGGTCCGGTCCAATATTTAATTAATTCATTTAATTAAATCCAATCCATGAATTAATTAATCCAATTAATTAATTTGGGGATATAAATAACCAATCCAATTAATTAATTCGTCCAACGATTGTTAAATTAATTAATTGACAATTTGTAATCTTCCAATTCTCTTTTGTGTACGACCCATCAGGTTCCCGATCACGATACGTAACGACGTGAAATATTATTTTGATCTAATCAAAATTGATAAATTAAAACACCATTTTAATTTATCATCAATTCATACTCGCCGTCTCAGATTGACATCTAGCAATGTGTCAGGGCAATACATGTGACGGGAAATGTCATGTGGTATGATAAAACCAAACTCGCTCGTTTACCGTGAAACTATAATCCCTTCATCAATATGATCCGATCAATATTACGAGATATGAAAGTGTGTCAATTTCGATTATCGATCATATCTTTCACTCTACTATTAAGTCAATATAAGTTGAAAACTCCTTTTCGACTTATGAATACACCTTGTCCAAGGATTTCGTCATCGACTTAATTGAATGAAATGCAGATCATAATCTCCTATTATCTAAGAGTGACGAATCCTTTATTGGTCAATCACAACCTTCATACGATTCTTGACGTACCCGAACAATGTCGTATTAGTGGCCCTTTGCAGAGCAACATCCAATACCGCTAAAGTATGACTGTCCTCATATAAGGTACCATGATGACCTTAAGTCAAAGGACCAATTCCACTACCGAACGTTAGAGATTAACCACTGACACTCAGATAGTTATCCATGTGAAATCTCTCGACGGGTCTCCTATGTTTTGTTCTATAACAAAACATCCACGTTTTCATTTAAGTGTCACTATACTTTAACTTGTGAGATCAGCTACTTACTTCATAAATAAGAAATGTCACACGTGATGGTCTATCCATAATAACGATATCCGTATCTTGTTATTACTTACAACCTATCTTGTTATTACTTACAACCACGGACGATTTAAGATTCAAGCAAATGTAATTTGTATCTCACAATCACAACTCCTAGTGATTAACAAATTATGAATATTTGAATCTACGAACTCTATTATTTATTTAATTGTCTATTAATTAAATAATAGATCTGCTATTAAATTGCATTAATTATATATCAAAAGTATTTATGTTCAAAATTGATTGAACGTAGGGCATAATACTTACAAACTCTCACTTGCACTAGATCCAATCACTTACGTATCCAATATCATAAGTCTACATGACGATCATGTTTATGCTACGACAACTCTTTGTCAGTGAATCTGCAATATTGTTAAATGTGGGAATTTGTTCTTCTCTTTACGTCATTTCTATGTATTATCTCTCTGATGAGATTATATCGCCTTAATACATGTTTGGATCATTGATAAGACCTTAGTTCCTTCGCTTTCGCAATGACTCTATTGTTATCACAATACAATGCTATATGATCGACAATATCAAGAACTACTCCAAGTTCATTTATGAATATCATGATCCAGATTGCAACTCTTTGCTACTTCTGAAGTAATCATGTATTAGGTTTCTACTATTGAATCAACGGTTGCTTCATGTTTGGAACCTTTCTTAAGAATAAACCAGTTTCTCCATATGAAATCTTCTCAATATTTTATATAGATTGGGACGAGTTAAGCAACCTTCTAGATCTATCTCTATAGATCAAGTTGCTTCTCCCATATCTTCAAGAATAAATCCTTTAACAACCATTATTTCAACGATTGAAACATGGGGATGTTCTTTTCTATAATATTAGCAATATGACAATGCTCCCACTATCTTCTTGTAAACACACAATTCGTCTTCAAATTTGATAAAATCAAACACTTTGACTTTTTCATTAAATCGAAGATTTCAGCTCCAAGAGACTTCTCTTAACCTATAGTCACGGTATGCAACTGTTGCAAGCAAAACCCAAATGGACTTAAGCAAGGCCACAGAAGAAAGGTTTCACCAAGGTCAACACTTAACCTTTCTTTCTAGCCTTACTTTGTATATATGGATATTCCCATCCATATCGATCTTTCCCTTGTAAACTATTTACAAAACCTTATGGGTTTTATTCCATCAGGAGGCTCGATCAAGATCTAAACCTTGTTCACATATGTCGAGTTCATCTCGAGTATCATGGCCTTTTGCTGTCCCTTTTAAGTCAATACTTGACTTTATTTTGGTGTAATTAGTAAGTTCATCATCCTAGATCAGTAATACCTAATTAGTAATCACGAATTCACACCTTTTTGAAGGTCGAATGATCCTACTAGACTCACATAGAGCTGACATGTCCTCAGGAGTCTCTAATCCCTGATTAAGGGTATGTCCCATATCAGATATGGGATCAAACTTGGATTTATCTACTTGGTTAACTATATCTGTAAACTCTTGAACTCTTTCAAGTTCTATTTTGCTTCCACCGTCCTCCCCTAGAGTAAATATTTTCTCTAAGAAGACGATATGTCGTGAGACGAAAACTTTTTTCATGATAATAGAATTTATATTCAAATGTCTGCTTTTGAATATCCCCACAAATATGTATTTATCAGATTTAGTGTCAAACTTATCCAATTAAAGGTGCTTTAAATAAGTGTTATGACCCAAAAC